GCCGGCGATGGTGGAGAGAGGTGGAGGTGGCGGTGGCAACGGGGATGGGGAAGAGAGGAGAGAAATGAATTTGATTAGGTTAGGGTTTGGATAGATTTAGGTTTTATATAAATTTGGTGGGGGTAGGTAGTAGGGTGGGTACAAATGTTAATTTAATTTTATAATATTATTATTAATATTTAATTAAATATAAAAATATGTATCTATCTATAAAAAATCTGATTTTTGAATATTAAAACTTAAAATGTTATTTTTGAACTTGGATCTTGAAAAGTAGGCCTCTATGTAATTTCCACAAAAAAAAATTCAAAAAGGGGCTTAGTTTTTTCAATAGAGATCGATTGGGCTCATCTTGAGGTTGATTTGACTATGATAAAACATTTTAAATTATTGTCAATAATTGACGGAGTTTACGACTTACTACTTATTTCCATTTCAAAAGATTAATTTTATTACGAGGAGTAATTCAAAATTTTGTATGTTGATTATATATTTTATTATATTTCGATGTGAGAGAGGTGAATCATTTGAAGAGATCAATTTTGAAATTTTATGTGCTCGTTTTTAGTCTCAATCGAGTAGATTGCCCTTCCAAATTTAATGAGTCCTGATATCATACTAAAATTTAAATTTTATTTTAAAAGATCAACATTGGTAAAAAGAAAAAAAGGTAATCCAATATCTTATATATGTTAATTGTTTATTTTACAAATTTTTCGATGTGAATTCTATCCCCGATACTCTAATCAGTATTAATAAACAAAAAGTGGTTTCCAACAACTGACAATGGACAACCTCTTCAGGTGGCGATTAGATGATGTTTTCATTAAGCAGTGGAAAAGTTTTTCCATCTTAAAATGAAAAAAAAAAAAAAAATGAAAAGGAAGAAGTTAAAATCTGTTCAACAGACAAAGACATGAAAAGTTCTTAAACTAGATTATAGACGGAAGGCCTATTGTGTCGAACTAGACAAAGTAGTAGTGGTTTAGTGGAGACGATCCTTAAACCGACTTGTAATTTTTGACTGATTTTTATCGAAGAGTGTAATGATTAATGTCTCAATAATTGGATCATAAAAAAGTGTGATGATTAATATGTCTCGAACCATTTCGAGACTTGAATCTGACTATTTATGGACCGAGTTGCCATAGCAAGACTTGGCACCCCTATCCTATTTGGACCACACCATCAACAAATATAGAGTGTACTCCCATTTTTCTACGAGTAGTGCCACACTTACTGGGGAGGTAACATACATGGGTGGGAGCCACATTTTTTTTTTTAATACATTGAGGTGGGGCCGTGAAATTAAGCCCGAGGGCTTAATTGTTTTTCTACACAGCCACTCTCTATCCCTTATCAAATCAAATGTACATTCATTTCCCCTTTCTCTGCATAATTCACACTAGTGGCAACCCAATTTCGAGCTCACCCTCTTGACGCTTTCAATTTTTTTCTTGAAAAAGATTCAGAAAATTCGACAAAGCCCAACACAAGATAATATCGAGAAAAGGGCAGGAAAATATTTTTAAAAGGGAATTCCATAAATATATATAAATATCATAAAGTCTGCGCATAAATGGATGTAGTAACGTTCGGCATTATCGTCGGAATAATAATCCTCTTTTTCTGCGCTGTTTGCGTCATCACTATCGAGGGGACTTGCAAAAAGAATCGCAATTCTTCTTAACCCTTGAAAACCTTCTTAAGTTTTCACAATCCAAACACTCCCTCATTCGAATTTCTTTCAAGAAAATGGGGAGTGTCTCGAATAAACAGCAGCGGATCTATAATTGCTTCAGAATTGTATTCAGTGTTATCGTGGTTGTGGGATTCTCTGTGACGGCAGCCCACCAGTGTAACCATCATCATGACCATCACCTGGACCACAATCATCACCACGATCATGTGCATCATGATGGTGGTGATGTGGGTGTAGTTAAAAAGCAGCAACAGCTACTTCCGGAGGAACTTGCTGAAGAGGAGGATCTGGAGCTCTATGGATTTGGGTTGCACCACAATCATAACCATGAAAGGGAGCATAAGCATAGTGATATTGTGGAGCTTTCTGGTCTTGGTAAATATTTCCCCCTATTTAGCTTGATTTATTTCCTTAAAAATTCCGCAGCATTTTTTGTGTGCGACGGGAAACATTTTTTTTTTTTTAATTTCAATTTCGGAGGCTTGCATATACAGGATAACTAAAGTTGGGATGTCCATGGAATTGGCTAGAAATGTGAATAGAGTGTGGTTGAGTCTATTTGGGCGAATGCTGCTTACTCTCCTTTCTTAATTTACAATCGCAATACATTACATTTTTTTGTCCTCTGAAAAAAGATTTTTTTTTTTTTTTTCTTTTGACTATGTGGTATCTTACTTTGCGATAATTCTGGAGCATCAATGCTTTTTATGGATCTTAACTCAACTTAATGGTACCGATTGAGAATCTCAGCCATTGCCGCATACATATTTTTTTATATCCATTTTAATCTGGTCTAGGCTCTGGCGTTTAACTCTAGCAATCGGACCTTTTTCTCATTGGTCTCGCACTTGATCTGTCTCCCAATTACACCCTCATAATCGAGATTCTGGGATTGCTCATATTATTGGATTAATGGATTTTACATATGACAACGATTTTCGTCCAATTGGGACGTTTTATTATCGAAGCATTGTATACGCGGTAACTTACAGCAGTATAGTTCATGAGATTTTCTATTTATCATCAGTTTGGTGGTTATTTTTATATGCAACATATGTGACAATTTTGGTATGTAAGAAATTTAAGAATAACTGAACAGCTATTCTTGATTAAAGGGCACAAGAAAAGAGTTTCTTATGATGTTAAAGAGTTAAACATAATCTTCTATGGCTAAATGGTAATGAACCGAATGGATACACAAATAGAGGTGTGAGATAACTTCAAAGAAAGAGGAATGATTCTAAAAGAGTTTAGCATATCCAAAAGGTTTTGGATTGAGATGAGGATGGAAGAGTTCATATGTCCAAGAGGGTCTTGGATTGTTCAAATTGGTTTCGAAGTCAGTACATTTAATGTGGGATCTTTATTATATAAGGATTCTTCTAACTAGGAGTCTCAAGGCTAGACTAAGACCAAAGTAAAGAAGTCTAGTTAGATTAGATACAATCAGATTTATGTTCTTAAATCTGGTCCTTATTTTATATGGAAGAAACATGCTCACATATTGATGTTTGTGAATGAAAACCATCGCACAAAGCAAAAATAATAAACAAGAAGAAAACCCGGAACCTTAACCCAAAAATTTCTCAAATCCAAATTTTGTTGGTGTCACTTGCATATTCCCGTATGCAAGCTTGCTTACTAGAACTCATGGATTTAAGCGCCGAATGAATTAAGAAGAGATTACGGTCCCTATAGCTGCCTCTAAGGGTACTGTTAGAGGTCTCTAGCTTTCTAGGCTGATTTTGTGAGTTTCTCCATCACCAAGACAAGAAGATTTCTGGTGAAGTATTTGACTTACCTCTGCTATAGAGTTTGTATGCAACAATAATGAATTGCCATGGGCCAAATGTTTGAAATGTTAATTTCCAAGGAGTTTTTTCCTGCCCGTTCATGCCTTAATTTACATCAGGCCCGTTCATTGTTGAGTTGCTGCAGTTTAATTGACTGTACGAGTTTCAATCACTTCATTCCTGTTTCATATAGACCTTACATGGAAAGACTTCGAAATTATATTTCCTTATCTTTATAGGAGTTTTTCTAATTATTCTATTTCGTTGTGTTTTTGGCAGGTCTCTGGTTCAATGCCATGGGTTGCTCACTATTGGTGAGCTTGGCTTCCCTTATTTGCCTGATTATTTTGCCTTTAATATTCAGTAAGTAGCCTAACAGTCATGATTCATTTGTGTTATTGTTTTCGCAAATAATTAAATTTATATTTTTTGCTAACTGGAAAATTGTTGATCTTTTAATTTCTGCAGTACAGGGGAAGCCATCAAAAGCAGTTGTTGATTCTTTGGCATTATTTGGGGTTAGGTTTTCTTATTACTCTTTTCCCTCTTACTTTACCCCTTTCTATCTGAAAATCTTAAATTCGTTACTTGTTATTATTGGCCTTGGGCTATTGCTTCTAGAGATCATATTAGTTTTGCTTGATTATCTTGCCTCAATAACTCCTCTAATCTTACTCCCTCCTTTTCGTTGTTACTTCAATTTTTTGCCTTCTTGGGCATCTAAAATTCAAGTTACATTTTGCTTTTACTTGCCCCTAAAGTCCATTCAAAAGGACAAAAATGAAATGTATTAATCACCATTCTATCATGTTTTTCAGCTTTTGAATTTAAACTCGGGCCAAATATGTAAATAGTTCCAAATGTCAATGCGATGATATAATTCATAAAAAGTTTGGTTTTAATGAAATGATGCAACATATATGGGAAAGTGGGAGGGTATTATGTTTTTGTTATTCTGATTGGAGAAGGCTTTGCTAAACTTTTTGAACTGAAAGATTATTATAAGATTTCTTGTTAAGTGGGGAGAATAAGAATTATCGGAGTCTGAAGATATTACCAGTGCTTCTGAAATGAGCCTATCCCTTGTATATATATTGTAGTTTGAGGTATCCTATACTAGTGTTTTAGAAGACTTGTTTCGGAGGACTCTCTAGCGAAATAGTATTTTATCGGGAGAAACTTTTGCAGTTTTCTTATTCTACAAATTAATGCATGCCACTTTCATACTACTAACTTTTTCATAACTTCAATTTTTCTGAATATCTTTTCTTAAAGGCGTGATAAATTATTATAGATCACTAAAAGTATTCGCTCAGTGATTTTCCATTTGAGTTTCACTATGTTGATTTTGATTGAACTTCACTTATGCAGGCAGGAGCAATGCTGGGTGATGCTTTTCTTCACCAATTGCCACATGCTTTTGGTGCGTATGCAAAACAAGCTAATGCCCATGTTTTGTAATTAATTGATGCTAAAAGTTCTTCTGTTTTCCTTAGTTTTGATCTTAAAAGTTTTTTATTTTTAGTTGTTTAATCTGGAGTTTGTTGAGCCAGTATTCTAATTCATTTCTTAGCATAAATAAAATCTTGGTTGGTGAATAGACATGTTGAATGAAAAACTAAAAGAAGAACAGAAAAAATATTAGGAATGAAGTCGAAATAAAGATTTTTTTGGGAAGTGTTTATAAATGATTTAAATTATAAATAAATATAAATGAGTAGTGGATAAGTGGGTAATACCTATGGGTCTCACGAAATGTGTGAATAAAAACCGATTATAAACAATTTATAAACATTATCCAAACATGGGCTAAGACTTGTGCAATTGGGGATATTGAATTCTGAGACAAATAATTGTTAAAAGAAAATAATATAGAATAATCACATTCTAACGCTGAATGTACTAAATTTCACCTTGACAATACCTTTTAATGAACTAATTCTTTTCCATATGGCATAATAAACTTTGCACAGTACTGGATATTTTATTGATTGTATATACCCTGAAATGTTCTGTTCCCATTGCAAAAAATAGAATGCCCTTTAAATATTCTGTAATATTTATAATTCTTTCTTTTTCTTTGGTGATGTGATGTAGAGATGCAGGGGCATGGATACTGCAACAACTTTGATAATTTTGATTTGAATATGTTTACAGACCATTATTTGTTTGTGAGCATAGTAATTACAAGAGATGTGAAAATCATGTAAAAGGAAACATGATAATTTTTACTCTAAGAAGCTCATGCTTTTGGTTGCTTTCTTCTTGTAAGTTCTCTTGCGAATACGTAGTATCACGAGATTTTACGATATTTCAATTCTGAGCCACTTGATAAAGTTGTCGCAGATTATTTTTAATCATTGACCACAAGTAGAATGTTTCCTTGTGGAAAAGTTAGTATGAGTGTATGATCTCAGTTGTGAGCAGACATAGGTAAATACATATTTTATCTGTAGGTTTATGAGTTTGTGTTTCATATATAAACCATGGGTACCAATTGAATTCAGATGTTAGGTTAACATAGATTCGTCGTATGTTTTTTATATCGCATGATGGCACAGCAGCTGGTGAAACTGTTAAGTTAATAAATTTGTGCCTCGGTGAGAAGATATCATTTTCTTTTCCTTTCTGGTCTCTTCTTCGAGCTTGGTTTCCCGATCTGAAGAAGCTACTTGATTTTGCAAAGATTTACTCTATTGTACTTTGCTTTCATACTTTTAATTGTTTCTATTTTATTCCTGCAGGTGGTGAGCACTCCCATTCACATGATCACCATGATGAGAATGCTCGTGGTCACGTGCATGTTGGTGAGTCGCATTCACATTCCTTGAAGGATCTTTCTGTTGGATTGTCAGTCTTGGGTAAGTAGAAATTTGTGAATTACATGCTTTCCATCTTTCCTATCTCCCCACTGCCCTCGAAAAAAAAAATTGTATCTGTATAATGTTGTTCAAAGCCAGATGCTTAGTACTACAGCAGGCTGTGATGGAACATGTGAATAAGACACATATTTGTTCTTTGTGGAAATCTTGTATATTATTCTCCCGTTTTATTCCTTTTACATAAGCATTGTTCTTGCACTATAGTAAACTATGGCAAGTATGTCATGATTGTGAAATATAGGGCTATCATTTATAATGATTGTGGTGGACTATTATTTAAGCTGGTTGGAGAGTGGTTTCAATTGCTTAACGTATCTAAGTTTTGGGCTTCTTGGAAGAAATAAGGATTGAAGTTTATTGTTCACAATAGTGCTACCTATAGAAAAAATCATGAGACTGCCCCTTTATGAATCCATCCTAGAAGTCTAGTAACAGGAAGTATAATGAACTTTAAACATTTTAGGAGCTCGATACAAAAATTTACGGAATTAGGCTTTAAAAGGCTCAAGTTCGTTGTTTGGATATCCTTGTGAGCTTCAAGCAAGGACATCCATCGGTCCCATGCTTGGCAATTTTGGAAAGATAAAAATATCATTGACCTGGGAATATCTTAATCAGACATAAATTAAAGATTGTCAGCTTTTAGAACTTGATGCATGATATTCAATGCCTAAAGTTCTGGCGACGCGGAAGTATTTAACATGGCGTAAGAACCTGAATAGTTCGTCATATTGTTACAGATACTATGTTTATCTCAGTGTCTATTAGATTCTTGAGTGGTGGCTGATTTATATAACACACCGTATACTTTCATCACATTAAAGAAGTATTTTGTTCATCGAGCTTTTGGATTAGTTGCATTTTCTCTGCTGCACTTTGTTTTCGTGTTATAATCTTATTCTTCACTTTCCTGGATATAGAAGTATTCTTTGTCTTCTTACTCAATTTTACATAATTACATTTGAAGATCAGATTACCAAAGTTCAAATTCGTATTATTATATTTATTGTTGCAGCTGGAATTGTACTTTTTCTTCTTGTTGAGAAATTAGTGAGGTATGTTGAAGAATTTTCTGGAGGAGTTAATGCATGGAGTCATGGTCATCGCCATCATCATCATAAGCACAATAAATTGAAGGATGATAATGATGCTCATGAAAATCTCCAGGGACTGTCTGATAATGAGAAAGATGGAAGTAAATCCAAAAAGAAATCTGACGTACTGGATGAACTGCCCACTGATGCTCGCCGTGGAGATGAACAAAGTGAAAAAGCTGTTCTTCGGAAGGTAGGCTGAGAAGTGTGTATATCATGTTCATTGGGGGATCGACTAGACTTTGGATGTAAACCCAGTAAGAATAGATGGATTATGTGAGAACTACATCTGAAATAGAAGTAACAAAAATTAAAAGAATGTGCCCTTAGGTCTTTATATTTTTCTATTGATGTACTTTACTCTTTCCTGCTTTCATGACTGACCAACAAGTTATCCTGATTGAAGTTGGCAACATGTACATTTCTAGATACAAAATTTTACAACTGTTGTCCAATTTCTCCATTAACTCCTTGTTACTCTTTAGTAAATATTATCGTTGATTAAGATTTCATGGCATTAAGTCCTATAAAACCGAGTCCCTGCAAATCATTTCTTACCCTGAAATTTGTCTATTATTTCTTGCATTTGCAGAGAAATGCTGGCAGAAGTGATGCTGAAGAGAAAACCGGTTTAACTGCAATGAACGGCGTCAATGATGACAACGAGTCCGTTAGGAGAAAAGAACCTACCAAGTCACAGTCAAATCTGGTGTTTGGTTATCTCAACCTCTTCTCCGATGGAGTAGTATGTCCTTCATTTTACCCTTTTCCTTGCTTGGAATTCTTTTAGCTCGGCTCTAAATCTACCACAGATTTACATTGTGAAGCATTTCATTTTAAAATGTTGAAAGATTTATTTAATGAGGAAATGTTTATGGACTAGATATAATCTAATTTTTGGCGCAGCACAATTTCACTGATGGAATGGCTTTGGGAAGTGCTTTTCTCCTTTATGGATCAGTTGGTGGTTGGTCAAGAACTTTGTTTCTGCTTGCTCATGAGCTCCCTCAGGAGGTTTGAGTTCTCACTTTTGTACTGGGTATTTGCAATTATATTATTGCACTTGTACTGAAATCCTTTGCTCTACTGCATGTGCATTATGTTAATATCAATTTTACATCCAAATTTGTATTTTTCTAAATCTGTAATTCTGTAGAGTAGGAAGAGATCTTTGAGCATATTTTACTAAAATCTTTTGGCCTCTGGGAGAGCCAGGTGGGTCCAGGGGGGGCATGTGCTTCTACTGGATTTTGGAGAAGGAACCAGCAGATTTTTAGTTGGTAGCAATCAAAATCAATTGCAATTAGAGAACAGGTTTGGAAAAGGTATTCTGCTTCAATGAGCATGGCCAAGGAGGGGCTCATTGTATAAAAGAGAAGATAAATATAAAACTAACGTAACAAAAGTTTCTTTTTAATTTTATATTGTTAGCATGGTGCCTTATTTGCAATTTTCTGCAAAATACTTAATTAAATGATGTGCTTACTTAGGCCCTGTTTGAGCCACATTATTTTTTTTCATTCTCATTCTTCTACTCATTTTTAACCACACATTATTCAATAAAATAATATTTTCCATCATGTTAATAACTTTTCTTTCTTTTTCAACCACATATTTTCCATCACATTAACGGTAAAAATGCATTCTTTTTCCAAAAATGTGCACCAAATGGGGCCTTAGTTTTAGACGTGAATACAATACATTATGATCTTGTCACATTTTTCTTTCGAATGCAATGGGGCAAAAATGTGATAAGAGTGGAATACCCATTTGTTACATGCTTAAGATGTGGGCATTAATTCTTTTATTTGCTAATGCTATTGTAGAGCATATCTTATGTTATGAATATTATGATAAATAAACTGCTTAATCGAATTTGAGATCAGTGAATGATGACTGTTAGTCGTCTGTTGAAAATATTATATTATATAATATTGATAATGGAATAGTAAGGCTTTGAAAAACGCGTGATTCGTTAAGTGAAAGACGCTAACTGAATATATAGTGATGAAGGTTATTATACAACGTTTACAAAATATTAAAACCTGCAGGAAACAATGGTAATCTATCGCAAAAGGCTATAATATTTTCGATATTCATATTTTATGACCTTGTTTCAAAATCATTGTTCTTACTTATGCATGTTCCCATTGGATTACCTTCTTTTCTCTGCCCCTGCTTTTGGCCAACCCTCTGTGATTTACTTCTTGCATTTTTCATTTGGAGGTGTAGTTTGAGGAAGTTGATTAGACAATTAGCTTGGGTTGGAAGAATCTTGGTCTAAGTTCTTACTTACACTCCAATAATTTTATGATTCTCTGTGGTAAGAAGACCGTGTTAAACCAAATGTTATTATGAACTTAAGTTGTAAAGGCTCCTGTTACCTAGTGGGAAAGCATCTGTAGTTTTGTATTCACGCAAAACGCTCTTCATCGTATTAAGTCTGTCGTGTTTTCACCAATATATTGTGTCGTGATGAATTTATTGATTTACCTTACTCAGTGTACTGGCCATTGAGGAAGAAGTTTATTGTAACTAGGGGTTTATTTATTAGGGTTCTATGTACCGTTCACTCTATACTTGAGAAGCATGAAATCAATTGCTTATTTCATGATATCCCAAAAGAAATGTCATTTTTTTCCAAAATCAGATTTTTCTCATTCATTTTCATTTTCACATCATTTTTTCGAAGGCTATTAGTGTATTAATATCGTGACACTAATGCGGTAAGTACTTGTCATGAGCTATTCTATGCAATTTCAAAGATGGGAGTTCTAATATTCTATGAGCCAACCTTTTTTTTCCTGAAAATTGTTAGATAATTTGCATTGCCAACTGAATACCTTTGTTCTGATGTGGAGCAGATAGGTGATTTCGGAATCTTGGTGAGGTCGGGTTTTAGTGTCTCCAAAGCTCTCTTCTTTAACTTTTTATCTGCACTCATGGCACTAGCAGGAACTGCGCTGGTTAGTATTGGAAGAAAGATGAGCTTATTACTTTCCTCCCTTACTATATGTTCCAGGGGTTAAAACACTAGCAGCATGAACCCAAAATTTCATGTTGGTCGCTAAACCTCATTGTTTTTTTGAAATAATATTTGGTTACAATTGGGTCGCTAAACTTATAAACTTGTTACAATTTGGTCATTCTGTTCGTGTTAGTTACTTTGACTAACGGAAAAGTTGATATGGCAGTCTAGTTAGCAAATAACTAAATTTTACCTCAGCTTGTTCATTAGTCAAATTAACGGATGTGAAAGAAATGATCAAATTGTGTAATAAAGTTTAAGTTTAGACACCAATTTGACACAAAATGAAGTTTACAATTTTAGTGATCACTGCTGTATTTATACCTATGTTCAAAACTACATAAAATAATATATGCACTGACACTATATAGGCCTTGACAATGGGACAAGATCCGGGTCAATCGTCTTTGATTGAGGTGAGAGTTTATTTGTTGCGTAATCTATAGTTGGATTCTTCTTTGCCCTTTAGTATTGCTCAGTATCGAATGATTATACATTTGTTTCGTATTCTTGCAGGGGTTTACTGCCGGAGGTTTTATCTACATTTCAGTTGCTGGAGTGTTGGCTGAGATGAACAATGACAGTTCTACTTTGAGAAGTACCGTGGTTCATTTAGTGTCGTTGATGCTGGGCATGGCCATTGCCCTTTGTATTTCCCTTGTTGAATGACATAGGTAATTGCTGTTCTTCTATATGAAAAACTTTTATTATATTATAATGCCATGAATTTGAAGACTCTGTTAAACATTGTAGTAAATCATCTATTTCATGCTGAGCTTCAAGATTGTAATGTATTTTTCATGCAAACACATGATCCAAGATGAATCAATCAAGAATCAAACTTGTTTAGCATTTGAAACATGGTAATGTTGCGGGGTGGAAGAAATTGGTCGAGAGAATGCCTCCCTAATAAAGGTTTTGTCATTTGTTCTCGGTGATGCCTCTTGCGTGTTGCTTGAATTGGAAGCACACGATCCAGTCTCTTTTCGGTGTTGAACGCTGCTGAGTTTCTCTGCAATCTCTCAGAAAATTTCTGCTGCAATTTGCCATTACCCTGTACACATGAGACTTTGTCAATAAGAACTTGAACCTTCCGCTGCATAATAGCATTCCAGAATAATAGTTGCTCGAAAACGTCAAATCCAACTTACAAATATTGGGGGTATTAGCTTTATGGGACCAGGATGGTAGACTTAGTCGAGGTTAATTATGCTGTACACTTATCTATTCAACCACGAGTATAAGGTATGCTAGATGGTCTCTGTCAAGTGACATTGAATGCCCGGCAATCAAATCAAAGAGGATGGTTCTTGGGGAGGTTGAGAATGCAATTAGAGTGGATCGACATCAACTTGTACTCGTTTTCTTTGTTAGAGTGATACTGTATGGAAGTGAAGTGGACGTAATTCTTAAGTTGAGGATGTTTTCTAATCTTTGTACGACTCTAGTAAGTAGAAATTAAGACTTAATGTGTGAATGAGGATGGACGATCAAGTATCATAGTCAAGATTATCATTTTCACTCGTTCTATCCAGTTTTATCTTAATTTAACGTACCAAAAAATCAAGACTCAGAGTAGTACATGGAAATAATTGGTGCATGTGAACATTAAATTTGAATATGCAGGAAACAATACTTGCATTTATAACAGATGAGCCTGCAGGCATTGGGCACTCGACGGGTCTGTCTTCCTCTGGCGGTTCAGAGGGGTGCTGAACCGGCCAGAACTCAAACGAGCTCTCTCCATTTCCATTAAAATCCATGCTAGTTTTGTAACTCGTCTCCACCACCGGTTCAGTTGCACCTTTTTCGTAATCCTGCTAATATGTATATACAAGAGTATCAGATGACCACATCTCTATTTGTGTATGTACAGAGAATTCATCTACTAATCAACATTGTATAAGAGAGTCTTACAGATTCATCTTTGCGGCCCATCGAGAAAAAAAACTTACCAAAATATTATCAGAGAAAATTGAGAGTAAGAAAAAAAGAGTATTAAGTTTATAGAGAATTTAGAGAGGGAAAATGTATATATTGGTGGAGAGACGATGATGATACGATCTTCAGAGCAGTGAAAAGAAAGGAAAAGATTCCCACAATTTACGATCTCTCGTCCCTTTTTCACTTTAATTATTGGGTTCGGCGTGTTCATGGAGACACAAACTTTTTTTACTTTCTTTCACCGTTTTCTTTGAAAATATGTTCACCAATTTTCCACTTTTCATCTTTTCTTGGTTTTGCAGAACAAGGCATGATGTTGATGAGAGAAGAAAATGGTCCCGACTCTTTATTTTATTTTTCTTCGTCTACTACGTCTTGTAGGTCGAGCTATTTAACCATATTCTTTCGATAGAGTGAATTTCATCCAACGTCGAATCAAATTTCGTGTTGATCACTAAACTTGTGTTTCGTTTCATTTGATTCATTACGACAAATAGATTGTTACATAAGGTTTTTCTTTAGTTAAACTAACTTTTATAGAAAGAGTGATCAAATACTATAAATCTTAAATCCAACTTACAACTTTGTGATAAGAAAATAGTTGATATTAAAAATGAAGTACAAAATGGTTTTCACCAATTCTACAAAGAGAGGAGAGAGAAAAGAATGGTTGAGTTGAACGATTGTGACATAGTCAATCGAAAAGAAGCGAAAAACTTGTTGAATTTTCATCGAATGTCAAACCACAATTCTAAATCACAAAAAAAAAAAAAAATAATAAATAATAAAAATAAGGGTTATTGGCGCAAAACGTCCCTACCTTTGAAGGTTTTTGTGGAAACGTCCATATCTTTCGTTTTTTGGCGTAGAACGTCCATACCTTTCACATTCTTTGCGCTGAAAGTCCTTGTTACCAATTTTTAACATAAATTGACCATTATTCCCTCCTATATAAATAAAATAAAAAAGAAAAGAAAAATAAAGAATAAATTGCAATCTGGTCCTAACAAATTTATACATTGTTTATAGGAAATTGTACCTTCAATCTAAATAATACAAAGACAATATTCTTGTAATCAGACACAAAACATAGAGGGGAAACCGAATAAGAGCGATCAGAGAGAGAGAGAGAGAGAGAGTAGGGAAATGCGGCTTCAATTTTCTAATTACGAAGAGAAAATGGAGGGGAAAAATCAGAAATTGAAAAATGCGAAGAAAATTTTGAATGAAGAATGAGCAAATTGAAGAACTAGATTCATAGGTTTCAAGAAACAAGTAAGAATTCAAGAAAAGAAAAAGTGAGAGTTTTTGGGATTTTAATTTGGCTAAATTGAATTGGGAGCTTCAATAAGGTCAACCCATTGATTTTCTCCTTTGTTATGTCTTATTTTTCTTCAAGTTCGAATCTTCTGTTCATTTATGAATCATTTTTCCTTCATTCAAGTTTAAATTTTGCGAATGAAAAATCTGTTGAAGTTGAGAATTCAAGCTTGAAGCTTTTATTGAAAAGTTGACATTTGGGTTATTGCGCAATTTTGTGGAAATACATAAATTGTGGCGGGCTTACTTAGAGTTGCAAGGGATGTATCTTTAATGGGTTTATGTAGTTTAGTTAAATAAAGAATTTGTGTATTTGAGTTTTGCTTTCTGGATATAGTGTTTGAAGTTTGGAAATTTTTGGATTGGGGTTTTGGAGGGAGAGCTAATGTAATTGAAAATTCGAGATCTCAGGGCGAACTATTGTGTGTAAA